GGGTTTAGGGTCTGGGAACTGATAGTCTAGGCTCTGGGCCAAACAAGCTGGCGAGTACAACGGTTCTCTGGTCCAGAAGCTTTATGATTTATGCATGCGACTGACTGCAAGGATGCCAGGGGCTTGATAATTACGGTCTCTGTAGGCCTCTTCTTTCCCAAGTTATCGGTGAAGGAGGAAACCCTTCAAGTCATAACCGACTTCATGACAAGAAGCTTCTCCAATGCTGCGTGCACTGCGTGACTTCGACCATGTTTGCGCAGATTTTCGGTTGATGCCGGAGCTTTCTTGTTGCTCTCGTTCATTTCTTTTGCCACTTTGTACAACCAAAAACCCTATTTAACCCCGACCCTAAATCCTAGGCATCCTTCTGCCGCTGCCGTCGTTCGTCGTTTGACTTAGAGCTGTTGCACACCCCTGCACCCCCCAAGGCATCCAAACTCAGCTGGGAGTCCACGTAGTATCGACGAAGATCAACAGCTCCCGCTGTGATAGCGACTGTAATGTCCCCGACGAGATTCCATGACTTCTCGTCATCCTCACAGCAGGCAAGGCGAGAGGTTTGGCAATCTGCACGCCAAATCCAAAACCCTGGATGAATCGCTCCGCTACTTGTATTGTCGCAGTGCCCGTTGCTGAAAAATTGCCTTCTGCAAGGCTGCGTCAATGTCGCTGACTGCATTACCTCTGCTTGGGCTGGCCGACGTTGCAGGCTGAGTGGTTGAGCAGCTTTTCGGGCATGACTTGGTGAAGAATGAATGCCAATGTTCTGGCATATCACGGCACACGCAAGCACGGGTCGCACGGCTAAGGAACAGGCACACTGCCTGCCACTCTTCCTTTGACACACGAATGCCCTGGCAAAATCCACGAAGCACATGCAAGAGCGCAGTTTTTGTGTACATACAAAAACCTGTCTCACGGCTCTGCCCATCGCATGCAATTGCAATGCTGGCAGCGGTGCCTTGGGCGTTGGCCGCATTTCGCCTGTGACCTGCGCTTTCACCCCAGCCCACAAATTTCTGCAATTAGCAGCCGGAGCTTGTCTCCTTGAATAATCGGCGGCAGCGCAACTCGAACAAACAGTCGGAAACAAACAAGCATTGGACACAGAGACGCCGTCAGCTCTTGGCCCTGGCTTAGAGAATTTGTGAATGCCAAGACCCTCCTGCCTTCTCGGCATAGAATTTTCGTATGTCGACACCTCATCCCGAGCTGGGCTTATGACTGACGATTGCAAGCTTTAGGTCCGACAACTGGCCAGTCAGTATAAAGGTCCGATGGCCAGTCTCCGAGTGCAGTAGTTGCTCTGTCCAGCTCAAAGTCGTATGACTAAGGACGAAGAACACCACGAATGAGACACACTGCAAATCGTAACTCGTGGTCGTGGTAGTGGCTCGTCGCCGTTGCCACAGCTACTACTGCCACCGCTACCGCTACCGCTACTGCTGCTGCTGCTCCTGCTGCTCCTGCTTCTCCTGCTGCTCCTGCTGCTCCTGCTCCTACTGCTGCTGCTTCTGCTGCTGCTGCTGCTGCTGCTGCTGCTACGACGACCATGACAACGACGACTACTACTGCTACTGCTACTGCTACTGCTACAGCTACTGCTACTACTGCTGCTACTACTACTACTCCTCCTCCTACTACTACCACTACCACTACCACTACCACTACCACTACCACTACCACTACCACTACCACTACCACTACCACTACCACTACCACTACCACTACCACTACTACTACTACTACTACTACTACTACTACTACTACTACTACTACTACTACTACTACTACTACTACTACTACTACTACTCCTACTGCTACTGCTACTGCTACTGCTACTGCTACTGCTACTGCTGCTGCTGCTGCTGCTGCTGCTGCTGCTGCTCCTACTCCCCCTACTCCGCCTACTCCCCCTACTCCCCCTACTCCCCCTACTCCTCCTACTCCTCCTACTCCTCCTGCTCCTCCTACTCCTCCTACTCCTCCTACTCCTCCTACTCCTCCTACTCCTCCTACTCCTCCTACTCCTCCTACTCCTCCTACTCCTCCTACTCCTCCTACTCCTCCTACTCCTCCTGCTCCTCCTGCTCCTCCTACTCCTCCTTGATAGTGGTCTGCGTCCAGAAAATAAGTTTGAAAGATGCACACAGAACAACAAGCATCCTGCAAGCGGTGCAAGCACTACAGACTTGGGCGTGCTACCGAGATCTTGCTTGAAGGCGGAGATCGAGACTCTAACCTGGGCAATTTATGTCTGCAACGCCTGCTGATGCCTTAGCATCGATGGAATTTCTCTGTGCGTAGGAGAGTACTGAGACGCTGAGATGGATGGCTGCAACATCATCCCTGTAGAGCTGCGCTTACGTACACGTGAGGAGTTGCAAGCAAATCCAGCACCTCACAAAGCAAACTACACGATTGCCCAAGCAAACGGCATGATCCTCGCAAACCGGCAAGACTCACCACAAGAAACTCAGAAAGCATCAGCCATGAACATGCCGCGCATGTTCAAGGGACTGCACGCAACTACACACCTTACTCAAGTTTCTGCTTGCGCTAGCATAGCAAATGGCAACGAGTGGCGTCGTCTACGAGGTCGAAGACCTGCCAAGGAGGCTTCAGAAGGCTGCCGTCGACTACTCGATTTGCGAACATAACTTTGAAAAAAGACAGCTGGGTTTGAAAGATAGCCGCGCTTGTATGCCCTTTTCTCAACTAACTCAATTATCTACAAGTGATTGGATCGCTTTTTTTGTTTCAGTTTCGGGTGGAGATTTGCCGTGGCAACCTTTTGCTCTCTCATTGTTGCCCTGATGAGTCCTTTCTTTTTGCTAAAGTGCAGCGTTCCGAACACCTTGTAAACTTTGCTGGGTTCAAAGGTCTCCCCTTGAAGCGCAGAGGCAATGCTTCAGAGCACAAGCACGGTTGGCAGTTGGCTTTGGCTGGTTCTTGAAGTATTAGGTAGAGGCACAGGTTCCCCCAGCCTTTTCAGCTGCGTTACCAAGGTGGGAACCCTGAAAAACCCCATAGTGCTGACGCAGTTTGTGACAAACATTTATATGATCGAGGGAGGCTAGAAGAGCAACAAGCAAAAACCAGAGAGCCAAAACACGAAGACACAACCCAAAGAGCGCAAAAACACAATGAGCCAAGAAGGCAGAAGTAAGCAAGAAAGCAGCACACATAATAGGGGGGCGACTTCGAACCTCTGCGACCTTTACCGGTATATCCGATATTGGAGTTAATACTGGTAAGAATACCGGTTCCCCAAATGACCCCATATTTCCCGTATCGACCAAGAGGAACACTAGATCATTTCCAAGAAGGACCATGTAATTATGAAATGTCTTCCGAAGAGGCCATAGCAAACTCATCAGTTTCCGGATCAAGAGTCCGAACGTGGGGTGCCATAGTGGTGATGAGGAACCGAATCCCCCAGCCCTGAACTTCCGAACTCATTTAAAGCCCCACTGCATCTCTCAAGCCATTCGTGTCATGGGCCTTTTCACCGTTTTCGCTCGTCTGCGCGGCAGCACGCTTTGCAGTGGCCGGTGCCGCTTTGGCCTGGCTTAGGTTCAGCTTAGGTTTTAGGGTTTAGGGTTTGTTTGCTTCTTTGTGTTCTTAACCGGTGAAACCGACTGTTCCGAGTAAGGCTCGCGCTTTTCCAACAAGAATCTAAAGTCCGCCTATAGATTGACACGTATTCGCAACAAACTGCAGCACAGACGAGGACATGGGGGCTCCGAAAGTTAGGCTTGCCCTTCTTTGGGAGTCCCTGAATTAAGAGAATTCCACTATGTGTGGGGTAGAGCAGGGGTACCCCTATTTGGGGCGATACCCCCTATTTGGGGCAATACCCGTATGGCAAAAGGTAGGAGTCCCAAGCCGTTGCAGCAAGAAGATCTCAACCGCAAAAAGTTGAAAACTCGAACGGAAGCCACCCTTTCCAGGCGAACAAATAAAGATCGTCTCTGTTATGTGGCACGGAAGGCTGTAGGCCCTTTTGCTCGCGGATTCAATCCGTCGCCGTCGCCCAAGACGCGACGACGTCATCCCAAAATCTCATAAGCCCTGAACCAATAGGCTTTCGACTGTGCAACTGGGACCTGCCAGGCCGTGTCTAGTAGGCTTTTGGGGTGGAGATCATGCCCCGATAAGAAGAAACATGTTATTGAGACGAGGGCTTCATTGGGGCTAGTTTTAACACAGGCCCAAATCCGACGCTCGAATCTGTGCTGGTAGTTCCTGTAGCTAAGCCTGAGCACCTTAGCAATTTCCGAGGCCGCTACTGCAGCAGGGGCAGGCTGTGCAGCTGAGCCTGCAGTCCTTAGCACGACAAGGCAAAAGAATGCAACAAAGCGATGACCAGCCCAGCCACAGTCACCCGTGAATCCTACTTCAGTAGACGAGAAGTTCGTGGCATCAGCTGATCAGAAACTTGCTCTTTGGCATGGGCCGGGCAGTCGTTTCTGCAATCATGGTGCTGGGAACATACAGAAAGCCAATGGGTGGAGGAGTAGACCACGACTCTCCCCCCCCCCCCCGTTTCGGACAGGCCGTAGTATGTCTGGCATGGAAGCCATGAGTACGCATATCTGGACCATGGCCCAAACAAGCAATGTGCTACACTCAAAACAGCACGCTCTCATGACTGAAGCAAGTTGAGGCTGCCACTTGTCTTCCACGCTCTTGACTTTGTCGGAGCTTTGCAGATCTGCGTATGCATCAACAATTGGTCAGATCGCGGCCATAACAATCTACGCGAACCTTTTGGGGGTATGTCGAGACAACATTCCTTTGTTATTGCATGGGCGAACCCTGGGTCATTGCGTGAGGAGGCAGCAGGAGTACTGCAATTACTCGAGCACGGAAGCTTCGTCTGGCGGAAAATGGTCCATTGCCAGAAATCTCTCTCCGTGGCGCGTCAATGCATAAGCTCTCTGGAAAGACCGGGCCTTCCATAATGGCGGCCTGCAACGCTCCACGGCACTCATTTATACGCTGATGGACCACGTAGCAATGTAGCAATGAGCCGCTGTGCATTCCGTATTGCACCTGTTAAAGCTGCCATGCGTGTGCACATGATTCCACATGCTTTCGCAGATGCCGTGCACTGCGGCCCCACAGCTAGCCTTCTTGCTGCCTGGGAAGAGCCATGACTTTAGTCCGGCATTCCACTTTCCACCCTTCGTCTTCAATAGGTCCTGTCTGTTCTATGTGCAGCACCAGACCCGGTCTCGCTGACGCAACAATGGCATGCTGCAGGCACTGCAGGGCCGGTCACTTCTTAGCCTCCTATGCTCTGCTCATTCCATCAAACCTCAGCAACCCGAACGCAGCAGAAGATTTGAGCTCAGGTCCTTGATCATCATGGTGTCACCCTTGACCAGCACAGCCTGCGTGCGAAGCCAATGTTGCAGCAACAGCCAAAGATGCAAATTTGTCCACCTGGCTATCCCCCACATACTGCAGAGCTGAAGAGTCTCTCTTTTCTTGTCAACTTGAGATCAGCCGCTCCTTCGCACGACACTTGAGGCTTCACTATGGCGCACCTTGCCATGGGGCTCCAACCAAACAGAAGCCATGCTCCAGTGTCAGGTGATGCTGCTTACAGCTGATTGATTAGTGCTCGACATGCGTCGTGAGTGCCTTCTAACAGCCTCTGGAGGCAGTGGCTGCCACTGCTTCAGCTATGGTCTTGCAGAGTAAGGGTGCAGCGTTCAGTGAAGCATGCGCTGCCTAGAAGATGACAGCCAAAAGTACTTTATGTCTCGGCATCTGTGCTTGGACAGCTTCCGTGCGTTGCATATAGACCCCTCGAAGTTGGGCCTTGATCCTGACATAAGAAGTCACAGGTCCTCAAGAATCATGGCGCAAACTGCAGAAGTCAGCTGGCAACTCCATAGCAGTCTGGCAATCTGAGCTACCGCCCTGCGCAGTACGATTCCCTTTTTTGGGAATCGCAGCCCCAGGCTCCGCGATGCCCCCGTCAGCGACGCGCAGGCGCGCAAGGTTTCACCTTCAGGGCTGCGAGGCTTCCCCCAGACTTAGTGTTGGTTCGTAGGGAATTGGGGAATGAGGTACCCTATGTAATCCCTTAAGGGGTATGTATAGGGCCCTAATTCCCTCATTCCCTGCGAACCTGGAAGCACCACTTATAGCGAATGACATATGATGCTGGAGCACATTTCTATGCTACAACTATCGTTCTGACAGTGCAAACAAGCCTTACTACAGTATTCTGATGATGATTCTCACTATCATGATGATGATCATAATTTAGGTTTGGGCAATTGATCGCTGAGGACTGAATGATGCAAGGAGCTGCAACTGCAAGGCTACCTGCCACTTGGCGTGCCACTTGGTAGCCCAGTAACCACATTATCACGAGGGCATACAAGGGAACCCGTAACAAAAAAGAAGGTAAAGACTACCACTGGGCTGTCGCGCAGCCTCCGCCGAGGCATCGGAAACTGCAAAAGCGATCTCGACACGAAGGCGCTGGGGTTTCGCACCTGCGCTGCGAAGCATTCCCGTGATGTCAAGAGGCTCCACTACAGAGTGAGGATCCAACCAACTGCAGTCGGCCTTCTTTTCACCTCCTGTTTCACAGGCCCCTAAACCCTAAACCCTAAACCCCAAACCCGAAACCCTGAACCCTAAACCTGAACCTCCTGGCCTCCCTGCCCTTGAGCTCAAGCTCCTCCAAAACTTCCGCAGCCCTGGCCTCAGAGAGCACTTAGGCCCCATTTTCTTACTGAGTTGGTTAGCAGGGAATGAGGGAATGAGGTACCCTATATAATCCCTTGAAGTATATACATATATATATATGTATATATATATATACATATATATAGAGATATAATTCTTTTTGGGAGGTAATTGCCTTCTCTTAGAATAAAGAGCAGGAAATCTCCGCCTGGTCTTTTCTGGGATGGCTGCATTCGCAGAACCCTGGCACCGAACCCTCACATGCCAAGGCCTCCACCTCATGGCTAGGATTTCTTGGGGCTTGGAGATGCGATCGGCAGCGGACCAAGGCTCGAATCCCGGGGCTTGCGCTGCACAGATTTCACTCCCAGGTCATCGCAACAGGATTTTTTGTTTGAGGTTGAAACCTGCGGATCGGTCGTCTATGGCTTCCTTGTGGAAGCTCCGCACGTCACCCCACGTCTGCTTCAGCTTCATGGTCCGGGTGTCAGGCCGGATCTGCCCCACGTATGAGCCTGCAGTGCTCCAAAACAGCCAGAGCGCCACTCTAGTTGAGTCTAATGAGTCTCTCGACATCGCAAGCCCGCACACCGACACAAAAACCCGTCTGTTTCGATCCGCATGTGCTGCCCAGGCCTCAATGCGTCGTCATCCTGTTCAGCACGTACAACTGTCACAGACGAAACTGCTTCGAAGCCATTCCTCTTGCAGCTCTCATGCGCAAAGGGTGCCCCTCAACCCTAAACCCGAAACAAAAAACCCTAAACCCTGAACCCTGAACCCTAAACCCTAAACCCTAAACCCTACTTGCTGAGCAGCGCGCGAGTCCAGCTTTCGCACCGCGTCTCTCGAGATCGACAACCTGTATCGACGCGCCAAAAAACAGGTGGCAAATGGTGCAAAGCTGAATCATCCTCTGGCAGATCAGGACCAAGCATAGGGGAATGAGAACATCTCAGAAGCTCAGCAAAAATAGAAAATATGTACATTTGTTCATTCTTAATAGATATAGATACGAGTATATATATATATATATATATATATATATTATACATATTATATTACATAAAGCGCTTGTGCCGCAAGGAGGTGCCTCTGGCACCCTCCCACCGATGCCAGCTTCTGGGTAGAAGCCGTTTCCATACTGGGTCCTCATGTCGACATCTTCGAGCTGTTTAGGGTTTAGGGTTGGGGGTTTCGACTCTCACACTCGCGCACGGGTTTAGGGTTTAGGGTTGGCGGTTTAGGGTTTAGGGTCGGCCACATTCAGCAAAATACGTTTAAGCACATATTAGTGGGAGCAGGCATTGCAAGCTTGCTCTCCTTGGCACTTTGAGCGGAGGTGGCGCCTCAGCCGCAGATGCTGGTCCGGCACCAAACGCTAACTGTCAGAGAAGCCTATACAGGCTTAAAGTTCATCTCTCGGACTCCCTTGTACAATTATTTAACTTCGAACATGCCCACCCTCTCTGGGCAGAGGTTGGGCACTCCAGGTTTGGGGCTGGACACTCCAGACACACTCTGGGGCTGGGCACCCAGGGACACTCCTCTGTTGGGCACTCCAGGGACACTCTGGGGCACTCCAGGGATGAGCGAGGAGTAGACCGCACGAGGAGAAGAGTTGAGTTTAAAATCTAACAACCCCACAACGAGGGTGGGGAATGCATGCATGTATGCAACGCGGCCCGGATGCCATGAAATGGTCATGTTGCGCTCTTGCATCTGTAGAGAACAGGCACAAGAATGAGTAGCACAAGTAGATGGGATGCATACATACATGAAAGCATAAGCGTAGACTCTTACACAGGTCGCGCATATACAGTACACAACGTGCAAATGAATCGGCATACTACATGCTTTATTTACAGTGCAGCATTGCGTTACACTACGCTACGTTAAGTAGCTGCTCCCGACCTCGGCGTTGCCCCGTCGGGTTCTGGATGACGAAACGGCCTCTCCAGGGCAGCCACCCTCCAGCATCCAGCTGACATGGAAACAAAAAACAACAGTAACAAATAACAACAATAAGTCATAAGTATTATGTCTCTACCTTTCCATAGTACAAATTTCTATATTATAATGCTATTTGTAGAATGAACTGCAGAACCATACTTTGCGCAGACGCCGCACTGCTGCGGCCTTGACGACGAATGCAGATGGATTGTGGATGCCTGCAGAGTCGCACGCTTGGCATCTAATGATTTCAAGCTGCGGAGGAGGAGAGCAGATCGCCGTCTTGGAGAGATACTGAGCGCTCAGACTTCTTACTGCATCAGACAGAGATTCTTTGGAGATGAACTGAAGCTTCAATTCAGGAGCGTGGGATTTTACGACTGGAATGTTTGTCGGGGATGACTATGGCTGGACTACCTGGAATCGGACACTCTTATCTTCATAGTGGACTGCGCCCTCGCACGCGCGGGGAGAACAAGAACATGTATTTGAGCCAAGCACGACGAGTCAATAAACACCTATATATATGTATGTCATATATCTTGTTGAACGGCTGGATCTCGTCGTAGAAAACAGCAGTGAGACAGACTGAGAAAAGAAGACGTCTCCTTGGCTGCTGGACACCTCATAGAATGCTACGCGGTCTGGACGATAGCCAGCGCTAACGCATGACTGATAATTCCTAAGGGCTTGTTTTCGCTTGTCTTTTTTCTTGCTGTCCGTCTATCAGGGGAGAGTTTAGGGTTGTGACCAGGGTGGAAGGGGGTTAGGGCTTATGATGGCGGGAGCGTGAGTCAGGGGGGGGGGGGTTAGGGTTTGGGGTCGGTGCAGGTTTGTTATGGTGCAGGGAGTAAGTTTAACGTTTAAGGTCCAAGGTTTCGATAGCTGACAGCTTACGTTTGGGGCTTGATCAGGGTTTTCTTGCTTAAGGTGGCAGGGGTGTTTCGCGGACCGCGGACAGGTATCACTGTTACTTGTACACTTTTTTTAAGTGAGAGTGTGTGCGCATTTGCATGTGTCACAGTAGAGGGACAGAATGTAAGCATAAGGACAGGTGGAGACCTTCACACACACACACACTCTCTCTCTTCCTTCCTTCTTCTGCTCTTGCCGCCCGAAGGGGCCGTCCCAAGGGGCGTACACACACACTCCCCCTCTCTCTCTCTCTCTCTCTCTCTCTCTCTCTCTCTCTCTCTCTCCCTCAAACACTGACTCGCGCTCACACAGGCACACCCATACACACACCAGGCACGAACGCACATGCTCTATGGGGACTTTTGCGCTGGGACGGACCTATGTGAGCCATGTCCTCAAGGATCTCTTCGGCTCGGTCTGGTGTCGCCTTCGACAAAGGATGTTGTTGGGGGGTTTACATATTAGGCTTACTGGGGTCCTTGTTACACGGGGATCCTACTATTTGGGGGTCTTTTTTAGGGGTCCCCTATTTTCGTAAACTCCCAGTTTGGATACAGTGGGGCGAAGTTACAGTGAAGGGGTTGTAGGATTACATATCGTGGCATTGGAATGTGAAAGATTGCTGGGGTCCAAGCCTCCCGAAGCTTCACCACGGCGGCCTTTGCAGGCAACCCAGGGCAGGAGAAGTGTAGGACTTTCCGAAGCTATGCGTGATCTTTCGTGTGCACATTCAGGGGTGTCTTTTCATCCCGACCTCTGGTAACAAGACGTCTGTGAGTCTGTGAATGCAGACGCTCCTGGCCCCACCAGCGGCAAATAACCCCTTCGTACCCGGTCAGGTTGTTAGGGAATGGCTGATGAGTAATCTGTAATCGTCGCAAAAATTTGTCAAGATGCTCGCTTTTTTCAAGAGTATGCCCGGTACAGTACTTGGCTTCAAGGCCAAGAAAAACCATACTGAAATGTGCAGAATGATGATGGGCCTGCCTCGTCTAAGCCAGCGCTGACTTGTGGGTACCGGGCAAGCAGGTGTTCCTGCCGGAGCGGGCTCGACAGCTTCAGTTCCGTTTTGTGTCATCCAGCTGGCTTGCGGCGAAAACCTCTGACACTCTCAAACCCAAATTCCTCCACAAGCCCATGCTAATCTGAGACCCGGGAACCTAAATCCCCTTTTAAGCACGGACTGAGGCAAACCCTAAACCCTAAACCCTAAACCCTAAACCCTAAACCCTAAACCCTAAACCCTAAAGGTCTTGTGCTCTGAGATGCTCTCAGGTCCAGCTCGTCGAAGTGAGGTTCGCCCCGCTGTTGGGGATGATCCTCCCATGGCTGGCGTGACTTATTCGGGAGCGAGGTTTAGGGTTTAGGGTTTTGGGTTTAGGGTTTAGGGCTTGTCATTCCCGGGTGAAATTGTAAAGGGAAGGGTGCGCTTCTCGCCGTTCTGCGCCGGTCTAGTGAGCCACTTTGGTTTTAGAATTAGGGCTAGGGTTGGAGAGCCAAATTCATGCCAGAATGTTTCATTGTGAAGGTTCCTAGTCCTAGCCTACTTCGGAATAATTACTTATAGTATTCCCTTGTGGTCCCTTTATGAATATGCCATAATACCCCCCCTCCCCCCCACCCCAAAAAAAAACTATTCTAATTATTCAGGCCCCCCATATTAGCCATGTCCGAGGATGTGGCCGTTATCGCCCTCATCACGAAGGCCGAGGGGTTTCGGACCTTCTAATCCGGGGACCAAGCCACTCTCTAAAAAGATGCAGCTGCAACTTGCCGTTTTGCCAATGCATGTGCTCGCATGGCTGGGAAAAAGAGAGAGAGAGAGAGAGAGAGAGAGAACTGCTTGGGCAACTGGCATCAGTTCGTCTGGCGACATCCTCGATGATCTCGACTGCCTGGCCAGCTCAGCACTGCTGTTCTGCACGTAGAGCTGCGGTACCATGATGTGCTGTTGGCCACATTAAAAATTGCTAGTTGCTTAAGAACCCCCCCCCCCCAAAAAAAAAAAAAAAAAATAATAAAGGATAATGATCCCTAGATTGCCCTTAGTAAGGAAGAATATGATTTTTTTGTTGGGGGGGGGGGGGTTCTTAAGCAAGTAGTAGAAAAGCAGGCACCTTTAGACACCTTGCCCCCACCCTCATGCCCTAAACCCTAAACCCTAAACCCTAAACCCTAAACCCGAAACCCTAAACCCTAAACCCTAAACCCTAAACCCTAAACCCCTGAGCACGCAGCCCGAGATGGATCCACAGTCTCCAGCCTTCGCCTGGGACTCAGCTTCCCTCTGGTCTTTTCGAGGGGCTGCACATCTTGGGATGTTCCCCCTAGTACTAACAGTCCTTAATAGGGATTCTAGTAGCCCTATGATAATCCCCTACTAAGGAGCTGTTAGTATAAACGGGGAAGATTCCAAGGCACATTTTCTAGGAGCTTCCGGGCCTTGCATCAGCATCTAGAGCTTCGGCCAGATGCCGATGCCGCGCCAATGCCTGGCATGGGCGATGAGCAGCATGTGGTGCCAATGCCGGCTCACACGTGGCCACCGCACCCAAGAGTTTAGAAATGGCATCAGCCTGGTCCACGAGGGACTGTCTGACCGGAGACCTTAGACGCGGCAAGGGTCAAGCGCGGCACGAATGTGGCTCCTCTATACACTGCCATCATCTCTGCTTTGCCCTTTCTTTTCGGTTGTTCTCCGACTGGCGGGGTGTGTGCCACTCAACTCGCGGCTCAATCGATAGGACAACTGAAGCCACGCAAACTGTGAGTATCTTCTTTGCTGGTCAAGGCAATCAATCCGAAGCCGCTACGTCACAAAGAAGGGTCTCAACAGACTCATACAGGAAGCTCATCACACGCAGCTATGCATCTTTCTCAGAAGGTCCATTTACCGAGTGTTCAGGACCTCACGAGACGAGCGACAGTGGTCGCTGGCCTCATCTGTACATAAGTTCGTAATGCGAGCGCCTGCACGGCATGCACGGGCATGCCTTCACGCGTCACCCGCTCGATGGTCTTAAACCCTAAACCCTAAACCCCAAACCGAAGTCAAACCTCCATGTCGGCGGACTTGCTTGCGACTGGATTCGGCAGAAAGCGATAGACCAGGATCCTGGCAGCAATCTGGTCAACTTTTGCGATTTTGCGGATAACTTCCGAACACCTCAGACGAATTAGTTCTGGGTCGATGGGATCAGGCAACTCCCTTTGGCATGCGTATTTCCTCGCACTTTCCTGGGATATGGGTGGCATCCGTTCTTTTTCAGAACCCTGAACAATGCATAAAACTGTCTGCTCTGGGCAGCAGGCTTCCATTGTCGGGTAATCCCCTCCCCGTCATATTCAACCTCCTACCCCCCAATATGAAATACCCCCCAGTATGGTTACATTATTGTATAATGGGGGGGGGGGGGTATTGAATTAGGGGTAGGCCGGGGTTCATAATAGGGGGAGGGGATTATCACCGCATGAGAATTCCCAAATGCGACTACCATCTTGCAATCCTAAACCTAAACCCTAAACCCTTTTTTGACCCCTAACCCTAAACCCCTAACCCCTAAACCCTAAACCCTAAACCCTGAACCCTAAGCTGTCCAGCTGCTGTCCTCCAAGCTAGGAAGATCAGGCCCGCCCCCACAGCAGCACGCATGTCAAGGAGGTCAAAGGCCACACACCTTTGTAAGATTTTGTAAGTTCGTCTGCGGTGCCCTACAGGACCTCTAGCAGTGTAGGTGTCGAGCCCTTGATGCCACCGAGGCACATCATGGACATCCAGATGAAGGCGATGGCCTCGGCGCGAGGGGGGGAGGAGTGAGCAGCGATGGTCGTTCCATCTCCTTCCGCCCAGCTGGCCTAACAGCCTCGTGGGCTCGCGAGTTTCGAACCTAGTGTCGGATAGATGAGAAGCCGTGCTCTGATTTGAAGCCTTCTGTGTCAAAACAGACGACTTGAAAGAAGATCCACGGCTGCTAGGCCGCTACTGCTACCGTGAGCCTTTTCGCACCCAGAGCTATGCGGACCTGAAGGTGAGAAACCAAGTGGGACTTCGGCAACAAGCTAAAGAAGCCGCTCTGAATGCTGCTTGCATCGGCGGCTCTGACCGAGACTTCGGTTGGCGGTTGTTCAATATTCAATTCAAAGGTCGCAGCCCTTTCAACAACACGATTCCCCAAACAGCCCGGGAAAAAAAAATTAAAAAACCACAAGTCTGCACGGTAATCGCTAAGGTGAGGGCAGGAACTACAGCAGGGCATCGGCGGCGTAGCGTGGTGTTGCCAAGCCTCCATGCGAGCTGCTGGAGAGATTCCGCTTCATTCCTTGCACCCCAAGGTGCACCCATCCATTCGATTCGAACTCGAAAAACTGGTTCAATCCGAGGTGCAGCACGCCCAAGGCGTAAGCTACGACAACGAAAGCGGGCAAAATCGTCAGGCAAGCCATTGACCATGAAGGCGCCAGGTTTCCAGCAGCGTCCTGATGGATCCGACCGCTGATTTTCCTTTCACTCCTAAAGTTGGGCTACCCGTCGGAGTCGCTGCAGACAGCAGCTGGCTGAGACTACTTACTGTAGCGACGATGCGCATGGGACATATCTCATGACTCATGACCACACGGAGTTTCGTAGATTTTCATCGATTGCCAGAGTGCAGGGGCCTCGGCACTCAGAGATCTTGGTGGCGAACCTTAGCTTGGCAGATTCTTGCAGGATCCTTAAAGGACCTAAGCTTTCTTCGCCCTAATGCCGAGAGGGACCGTGTCTGGGCACGTTCAGCAAATCCTGCCGATCTTCGCTGTTGCTCCAAGGCAAATCCGCATCCTCCGACTGGCAGTACGAAGGAGCACTTCCGTCGTGGACATCTGCAGGACATGTGTCCTTACATGCCCAGGATGGGACAGTTAGGTGCGTACCAGCACACACACAGACACACACGCACACACGGAGCGTCAAACACATATAATGAATAACTATATATCAATATATATATATATATATATATATATGGATATATAGATATATAGATACATAGATACATCGATATATAGATATATAGATACATAGATAGATGGATAGATATATAGATATATAGATATATAGATATATAGATATATAGATATATAGATATATAGATATATAGATATATAGATATATAGATATATAGATATATAGATATATATAGATATATATAGATATATAGATATATATAGATATATATATATATATATATAGATATATATATAGATATATATATAGATATATATATAGATATAGATAGATAGATATATATATATATAGAAGTATAGATAGATAGATATATAGATAGATATACACGCCCACGACTACAGCACCCAAAAGCCATATTTCTAGTTGCCAAGGGCATATACCATCACCCGTTCAATGATGCCACGAAATTCAGCTACTGAACCCAGTAAATCGTCGACTCAATGAAAGCAGCCCACTCGCCCTGCTTCACCACACGACTTCTCATACATCACATCAAAAGAGGGGGATGGCAGCTCGAAAAATAAAACTCTAAATCATGGAATCCCAGATCAAAGATGGAAGAGACAAGCATCGTGTTCGCGTGAGTTTTTGGTCCTCAGCGAAAAAGATTTAGCGACATATCAAACATTGTTGAACCACGATTGCTGGAAAAGATGGTCGAGATCTTCGATCTCACTCAACACAGCAAGGATCTGGCACACGTCGCTGCTTCTGGCTACTGGAAAATGTGCAGGCAGCATTGCTGACAATCGTGTCGGAGACAGAGCAGATGTACCAAACAAATGTTGAACTATGCTTCCAGCTGCCAGGGAAGTTTTGAGCGAATCGAAGCTGCAGCATTCCATCTCGAGTTTTGACTTTCAAAACGTTCCACTCTATCCACTCGAGCATGAGCGTTGAAACCTTGAGAACTCCTGGCTTCTTGCCGCCGGTGCAGCCAGCACAGCAAAAATGGGGTCATGATCACAGCCCAACTTTTGTAACACTTCAGCAAACCCCCCGTGCTCATGCCAGATGGTAAACTGAAGATTGTGGCAACACTTTGCCGGGAATCTGCAATCTGCAGAGAAAAGCAAGACTTTCAAAGCTCGGTCTCCTTCTAACATTAGTATATAGGTGGTTCTCTAAATTAGGGTCCTTGTCTGGGTTTGTATGTAGTACGGCAGCCTTTTGAAAAGGACCCCCCCCCCCCCCCAAAAAGGGACCCTAGTTAAGAGAACTCCCCATATAACATACGTGTGTAATACTATACATATATATATATATATCTCTCTCGCCTTTCAGAGGGAGTTGCGGCGCTGCACCGCACTTATTGCTTTTGGCATTTCTGTTTATACAAGTATTACACACACGCACACATACATACAATACCCTACCCTGCCCTACACTACATGCATTGCATACATTTCACACAGTGCACACTACATACATTGCATTACATTGCATGACCGAAAACAATCAACCCAAACAGGAAGCCTAACTTGAGGTCTTCGCCACATCTTAGGCAAGAGACTCGTGCCAATTGCTCGAGTTGCTCTCGAGAGACTGTGGTACTTCGCCCGTTCGATTTCATCCAGTCCTCTGGTGTCTGAGGATTCGTCGTGCCTGCCTGCTCAAAACAGGCGACGCAATGTACCAACCCCCCAACAGCTCCTTTGTGACTCTACACGAAGATACATGGTTGCGCTTGCCAGAAAAACGCGTTGGACTGACTTGTTGGAAGGCTTTGCCTCGTGCGGATATGGACAGTCACGAGGAAACGCGTGATGCAAAAACCTCAGCCGACAAACCCCACTGACCGCAAAGCAGAGCTCGTGTTTTTTTCATGGTCTGTGAAAGGAAAAAATGGCCTTGCTTCCAATTCCAAGCTCCGGTGCGCAATACAGGTTTGAGCTCGCTGAACTGCCAAGAAGCAGAAGGACCCTCAACCGGAGCTCCAAGCCTAAAAGCACAGTTGACTACTAACTGAGCTTTGGAAGCCTATTGGCCCTATCGGAGTGTCCGAGGTGCTGGGCGAAGAGGCGTCCGTGGAGAGGCACGTGGCCGCCACTTTGGGCGGCAATGCCGTCGAGGCGCTTTCGCAGCTTGGGATCCAGGCCTTCGGGAGGATCGCATGCAATTCCCCTCCCCACGGAGTCACGTAGTTATCCCGTTTCGTCCTCAAACAGTGTCAAAATATGTGCAGAGTAAAGAGGCTTAGGGCATTGCCGTGCAGGCGAACTGCCTGGAGCTCTTTTGCAGGCGTGCAGTGTTTCATCGTAAGTCGCGTTCAGGAACATGTGCAGAATTTCAATTTATTTTGCTAGTTTACTGGGCTGCCCCTTGACTCCAGGGGGTCACGTCCACAACGCCCAGCGCGGTCAATATGCATCCTCTACTTCCCTTCCCCGTCTTCGATTGCTTGCTTAGGGAAGCTGGCAAAAAGGTTTTCGGTGCCCTTCAACCTTCCAAGAGTTCCGGCTGCCTGGAGCCGGTGCGGCTACGTTTGGGTGTCGTGGTGGTGACCACAGCTCCCCCTGAGCACAACGACGTGGCTGTCTGTAGACCTTCGGTATGCACGCAGCCTCCCCCAGGCGCGCTCACCGCTAGCGCTACAGAAATCAAAGTGCAGCATCTCTGCGTAGCAACAGGATCAAGGTCGTGGACGTGTACCAGGTCTGGCATGTGTTGCAGGTCGCAGCGATGCATGTGTATCATGGCAAGTAAATTGCCAAGCCAACTGCTTAGCGAAATCTTCTGGCTTCTCCCACGCTTAAAGCTTGGTGAGGTCAGGTCCTCTGGATGGCGACTTCTCGCTCAAAGTTATGTTCGTGAGGATTGCTCCAGGTAGGCGCGCCAAAGTTTAACCCAAAACCTCCACCGTACTTCTTCGTTTTTAAGCGGTCCAGAGTCCAGAGGGGGGGAGGCCACCGACCTTCTTTCCAGGTTTGGACATCACCAAACCGGGTCTGTCACTTCCTCTCAGAAATCTCTTTATGTCCGAAACTGAGCATGTTATGTGGTTGCCCTGGCCACCGAACAAAAGCATAAAATTAATTTACTTCGAATATTGGGCACTCCAGGACGGACACTCTGGGGTTGGGGGTTGGGCACTCCAGGACACTCTGGGGTTGGGCACTCCAGGGACACTCCGGGTTGGGCACTCCAGGGACACGTTGGGGTTGTGCAGTCCAGGGTTGGGCACCTCAGGACACTTGGGGGTTGGGCATTCTGGGGTTGGGCGAGGAGTAGACCGGGCGAGGAGAAGAGTTGAGTTTAAAATCTAACAACTGCACACCGAGGGTGGGGAACAAAAGACAACCAAAATGTATAGCAAGATCTATCATGTTCAGCTCTCTTGGCCTCTCGTGCCCGCAAGGCCAGTGATGAGCTCGGCCACACGATTTGCACTGGCCTCCGGGCCTGACACCTGCAGGGAACGGTGTTCGTCTTTTCTTGTGTGTGTGTGCGCGGGCGTGCGGGCGTGTGTTTTTTGTCATTTTTCATCTTATTTCATGTATTTATGCTTGGAAGTAACGCGGGCCACGGGACCAAGAGACGGCGACCCCCCCTACCCAGAAAGAAGGAGTAGCAGCAAAACGCTCCAGCTGCAACAAAATTTGCGACCTGCCAAATCACGGAACCACTCGTGCTCAGCTTTGGGTTGGGTGACGATCATGCCGACTACAAAGTCACAACGCCACTAAGCCCCATGAGTAACCGTGGGCCCCTTCCACAAATCTGTTCGAGGGCCAATCTTGGGTTGAGGGATTGGTTGACGTTGAAGCCTGCGGGACACATAAAACAAAGACAGCAATTGTTGCAACGCCAAAGACTCACCCCAAAGTAAAAGATTGTATGTCGATCAATCCCCCCCCCCCCCCCCCACCCCTCCCGTGTGCATGCGCTCGCGGCCGACCTGCTGCTCAATAGTGCTCATCATGTCTCCGCAGATGCTGCGGCAGCAAATTGCGTACAAGCCATCCGTGCGCATGCAGTTGTTGTAGCCTCGGCAACACACTGCTGTCGGGTCCTCTCTGTATGGCGGTATTCTTCCTGATTGCAACAACGCACCTCAGGCTCGCACTGGCTATGTAGTTCGCCAAGATTACATGAGGCCGGTGGGGGTCGGATTCGTCCAACACGCCAAGATCACCTCATCCAGCGGTGCTGCTACTTTCCTACATACGGGGGGTTTACGATAATGAGGGACCCCTGATATAGATCCCAAATCGTAGAATCCCCTCATAAGAAGGACCCTATTATCCTAAACCCCACATATCAGCCCATCCCGAATGCCAGAGCTGGAGAAGATTCGACTTGGAGATGCAACAGCAAAGCACCCAATGCGGCCGGAGCTCGTAGGTATTCCGGGCTTTCGGAAAACCTCCAGTGTCTGTACGCGCTGCTCCGGTAGAAGTCCGTCAGGGGTATTCGGCCTGGTGGCAGGGTGTCTGGAACACACTCTAAAGCGAGCGTACTGAAGATCTTGCTCGAAAAACGTGCGTGAAATTCAACCTGACACTTCCACTGCTACTCAAAGCCCAAATTGCATTGGCACAACTGCATGGAGCAAGTTTACCCCAGCACCATGAAGGTCTCTCAAAAGTCCAAGAATTCACTAGAAGCTCCCAACCATCACTCGCAAAAGCTCAGTTGCATCCCCACCCGCTCAGTGGTTGGAGCTCTCCCAGCCCCCCCCCCCCTGTTTCCAAGTCTGAACAACACCGAAGCCCAAGAAAAACCCCCCAAACCCATCGAAACATGCCTCAACCCTGTAAACCCCCCATGGGGCCAAACCCATCTCCACCAAAAAACCGAAGAGCGAACTTCAAAGTGCCAAGCTTCCAGGCTTGACGCTCCCACCTTCCATGGACACGAGCCTCGCCTTCGAGGTTCTCCAAGGGCTCTAGGGCTCTAGGGGTTTTCGGGCTCAGGGTCGTTCTGTCTGACACCTAGCTGACTCTGGGAGCTTCGCCGAGGAAACCCCTACTAGTAACCAGGGAACCAAGTGTCACAAGTGATCTGACCCATTTTTCCCGGAAAAAGCCAGATTTCACAGGTGACGATCTGCAAGAGAGCCCTAAAGCCGACACAAAAAAGCCTGAATCCCACAGCATCCCTTTTCAAAGCTTCAGGCAACTCCCAGTACCCCTAACGGGTTTGAGAGCTTCCTGGGTTGAGGGCTTGCAGCAGTGCACCTTTTTAGGGTTCAGGCTTCCAACTCCCAGTGGCAGCACCCCCGCCCCCACCTGCCCCCCCTACCCCCCCCTTACCCCCCCCCCTACCCCTGGTTGTTGGGCTTGAATTGATGGGGCTGCCCTCCTTCAAGCTGACTTCAGCTCCTGTTTAGGTCCTGGTGCTACCCCCTACCCCCCCCCCCCCAACGTTTCACAAAGGCTCAAGCAGGCATCCTTGAGCTGACGAGCGCGTTTAAACCTTTCAACTATGCTCCAGCGGGGTCGGCGGCTTGAGCCGGAGGCTCGTAAATCCGGTCCCCGCGCCGCCCGTGGTCCAGGGCGGAGCCCGCGTCGCACTAAAGCGCTAGCTTCAAGGGGCGAGCGCCCGAGCCGCCGACCCCGCCCAAAATTGCTTCATATTCGCGCGGGGCCCTTCGGGAGGCCTCCAAAACGGCATCCAAGGGGACGTAACACGCGGTGGTGCGAAAAGCACGAAAACCACGTAAAAACCATGGTTTTTTTACGAAAAACCGAGGCCACAAAACACCCGCAGCACCCCATTAAACCCTCACAGGCGCGCATCATCGACCCTATAGCTTTTCACACGGGGCGCGCGCCAGGCCGAAACCACGTTTTTCAAGGTTTGGGGGGGGTACCGGAAGCCCAAAACCAGGCGAGCATCATGAGCATCAGCAGCCCTGGCCCGCGGCCCCAAGGCAGCAAAAAACGCTGAAAAACGCTGAAATCACCGTGTTTTTATGAGGTTTTTCACGCGTGCCTCCGACCCCCACCCTTGTTGCCCTTGACCCGCCCCCAAAGTGCGCATCATCGAAACCCATGTCCGGGGGGGGGTCTGCTGATGCTGCTGATGCGCGGGGGTCCGGGCGCATCATCCAGCCATCGTTTCTCATGGGCTTCGTGGGCCTCCGGGCCCACGGCCCAGAGACCCAGCTGATGCTCATGATGCTTGTTTTGGGGGGGGTTCCAACAGCAGAAAACCTCGTAAATACCGAGTGTTTTGTGGGTCCACGTAAAAACGCCCCTAAAATCGCTCATTTTACGCGCTCGAACGGCCTCGAGCCTACAAAACACCCGAACAGCAGGACCCCGAATGCCCTTTCGGGGTCTTGCTTTTGGGGGTTTCGTGGGCACGCAAGCGTTCAAGCACATACAATCGGCGTGTTTAAGGGGGTTTTGGATGGCCTGGGGGAGGCCGCTGATGCTCATGATGCTCCCTTTCCTGGGTCCCAAAAGGCTTCCCAAGCCCAAAAACATGTGTTTACAGCGTTTTCTGAAGGTTTTTCGAAGGCAAAACGCAGCATAGAATGCTTTTAAGGCCCCCGGGGGGGGGGGGAGGGAGGGGGGGCGAAGGCAGGAGAAAGAGAGACAGAGAGAAGGAGAGGACAAAGACACGGGAAAGAGAAGACAGTGCCAAGGTTCAAGGTTTCGTGCTTTGGGGGGCGGGGGCCGGCCCGTGCCGCTAGGCCTGAAATCTGCAAGCGGGCTTACAAGGCTCAGGATGGTTTAGGGCTCAGGATGCTTCATCTGAAAGCTGCATACTAAGGTGAAGTGGCCCCTCTGCCGGTTAGAGCATGGCCTCATATTTGGGGTGTAGGGTTTAGTGTTTGGAGGATTACATGCAAGAATACCCTTTTGGCCCCTATTCCTTGGAATGAAAGCAAAGCAGCGGCAATTCGGGTCTCGACGCTCACACTCGCACAATGGGTTAGGCCTCAGGGCCTATGCGGCCTAGGTTGCAGAAGGGCCAAGCCCGCTTTGTTTAGGGAACCATGGCCTCAACGAAAGCCCGGAAGCCGCCAAAAGACCACAAAACCTTGAAACCCGAGAGGCCCTGAAGCCCTCAACCACACTTCTTACCCACCTTGAGGTCCGAGCACTCCTGGAGAGCGAGTTGAGTTCTTTTTGCTGGGAGGGGGGGGGGGGGGTGGGGGGCTTGGTGTTCTTTCCGGTATTCGCATTTAGGGTTTACCTGGGGCTCTATTTGAGGGGTGGACTGTTTCGCAACGTATATCTGACCTGGGTTATCAACCACTGTGCTGGGCTTTGTAGGGCCTTACGAAAGCGTACGTAGGGTTTTGCCACCGACCTTGGGAAACTTGGGGTCGCAAAAGGTGCCGGCGCTCACATCCCCAAACAAACCAGGACAAATTCCGGGTCTACTGATGCAGTCCATTCGGTGTTATGCCACCTGCCTAGCTTAGACTCTGTCGCCCTGCAGGGTATGATGTTTTTTTTTTGGACGGCGGACTGCAATTGTGTGAGCCGCCAGGATCTCCTTGTTGTTGAAGCTCGGGAACTCGAACCCAAAAGCCTCTGCGACTTTGCTGACTTCGGCGAACTGGTAGCCACCGCCATCATCCTTGAGAGTCCTGCATGTTTGTGTTGAAGGCATCGCGAGGCAGCACAGCGGGAGCAAGATTGAAAGGCCAGGTGCTCGTAACTACTAGTACTGCCAGACTGCAGAGTCAGAACTCAGCGTGCCTATCTTCCAGGTGGCGGAGCCAAGTCAGTGCCCCAGCGTGGGCCGGAGTTCGATGCAGGACGCCTTGCACTTTTCATCCTCTAAAATTCCAACTTTCCCCCATCAGACTTACGGTCATGCGATGCGCAACAGCTTCACTTTCCAACTCCGATGGGCAATCTAAATTCTCGTCATGCCGGCTCCTAAACCCTAAACCCTAAACCCTCAACCCTCAACCCTAAACCCTAATGTACTGAGCACATGGGGTGGCTCTGAGGCTCCCACGTAGGCGCCTTTTGTTCTTGGCCGGCTCTGCCAGGGTGAGGTTCTGCGCGGTAAGAATCACCAGCAAGTACATGTCCTCAGTGAAATTTGTTGGACTCTTTGCGCCGGGAGGGCGCAGTGGCTACTAGCAACAGTGTAGCCAGAACCATTGTGAAGATGACCCTGAGCTCCAGACGACGGCGGCGTCTGCTTGCTCACGGCTGATAACGCTGTTCCTCAAACAGCTGGCAAATGTTCCCGAGCTAGGCACACTGGTCACGCACGGCCCCACGCCCCCTCAGCCAGTGTCAAAGGAAGCTCCAGGGACTCGAAGACCTTTGCCATCTGCTTTCGGGACTCCTGGAGGTCGCATCATGTAAGCAACCCATGAACCGATCCTTAAAGACACTTTGGTCACTTTTCACCTTTGCACGCTGGCAGTACACGCACAACACACACAACACTAGGGGGTACAGTAGCAAGCACCCAGTCACGTACGTTGCATGATGTTCCTGGCGCACAAGGTCTTCAATGACCGCCGCAATTTCAACCAGGTCTTGCAAAGAGGCACCTGGACAGGAAGGCCATCATCAGGAGCTCTCAGTACCAGAGATGAATTGGAAAGCAATCCAGCACGTACATGGTCAAAGTGTCGTGCGCTGCAGCTCCGACCGAGCCTTCACTCCGCTTGGCCTGCTCGAAATGCTGCTGCAGGTAAGATGGCACCCAGCTCTCCCAAACCTTGGCTTCAACAACTTCAGCTGCACAGTAAAACAAGGTCTGGGCTTTCAAGGGAGTTCGGGAGTTCGGGGGTCATTTCCTAAGTCATCCTAAACCGTAAACCCTAAACCCTAAACCCTGAGCCCTAAACCCTAAACCCTAAACCCTAAAAGTCTCGGCCGAAGCTCCTTGCGCAGCCGCTCGGGCTGCTTTTGCCAGGCGCCTTCCAAACACCCACCCCCGAACGGCCGCTACGGGGCAAGGCAACTTATTGTTATTATTATTGTTATTATTAGTATTATTCTTATTATTACTATTATTGCTATTATTATTAATATTAATATTATTGCTATTGTTATGGTTATTGTTATTAGTGTTATACTGTTCTTGTTATCATATGAACTATCAGGGCTGCGGTATCAGGGCTTCACGGCGGAAGGTTTGTTGTTATTATTATGCTTATGATGATGATGATGATGGTTACTATGATTGTTATTATGATGTTTATTGCTCTTACAATTTTTCGGGACATGAAAGCTCTGCGTGCGGCCTTCTGGTTCCAGGCCTTTGACCAGCCAGCTGCGCTCGTGGAGGAAGAATCGGAAGAGCGCGTATCGGGCTCCCTGATGGCTTAAGCCTCCACTCGGCATCTTGGCCAAAGTCCGGAAGATGGGCTCCAGATCGGCATGAAGATGCCGAAGCCGCGAACTGTTTTGCAACGTGTGGTTCATCTGCCACGCCACAAGTTTGTCCACGTCACTCCGATTGAAGTACTCCACATCCAGGAACCGGAGATTTGCAGCACCGCGAATGTTTCCTTCAGGCGAGCAGCATGCCACAGCCATGCAGCAGAGAGCCACGTGAACTCTCATTGTTCTGCTTGACATTCTGCTCCACCATGGACCATGGAGCAAGAGAAATTCACAAACATATGGAATTCAAGCCAGCTGGCTGCGGCCCGAAACGGCTTCAATTTGCCTCGTCAAACATAATGAAGTATACTCCTGCCCTGCCACCCACCCCCCCCCAACCGAGCGGCCAAGTGGTATGCTCTTTGCCCGCCAATTGAGAAAACAGTCATATAAGAAGCAAACTAACAACTTCAACGGGAGGGCATTCCGAGGCTGGTGCCTCGAACGGTGGACCTGCTGCCAGAATCATTGAGGTAGCTTCTCTTTGGGGTCTTGATGACAAGGGTGCCGTATTCGATACTACAGTGATACTACTGTAGGACCCCAGAGAGGACTTTCGCAAACGCAAAAAAAGGTTTTGCAAAAAACATGTTTTGATGAGTGGCAGAGGAAACGAGCCTAAACCACGCGAATGTAGCAAACATCTGCAAACACCACCGATCTCTGCACATGGGGGGGAGGTTTCCGAAACTAGGGCCACTAGGGGGTACCTTATTGGGGCGTTCTTTTGTTTAAGGCCTCCCCTACTTTCGTAAACCCCCACATGAGCTGAGAGGAGAACTTGCAGAGCAGAAGCGCGAAAGGCCTGGTGCTGGGTTTGGCCCCAGGGCCTCGAAGAGGGCTATTCGAAAGGAAAGGGGGGCTGGGACTCAGAGCAAGGCTTTAGGGTTTGGAGTATCTATAGGATCACCTTCCCAGAAGAAAACATCTACACATGCGGCAACCTGCAAGCAAGCTTCGAACAAGACATGCTCGCATGACATCGAACATTTCAGGCCCCCATGACAAATCACTTTGAGCCTGTGCTTTCTGGAAATCCTAACTGACAAATTCGGATGAGTTGAGCGTGGATTAGCCATCGAAGAACAAACGGCAACGAAACGCCAGCGACGCTCAGTTTGAGGCTTCGCTTGTCGAGGCATGGCCGGCGGCGGCTGTGGTGGCAGCGTTGGCCTCAACCAGATAGGTGCTAGGGGTTTTTTTGCCACCCGACGTATGACAGGACTTTAGGGTTTAGTCGCTCGTTTAAGGGTTTAGGGCAGGGCCCGCCCAACCAAAGGGGTTGCCACCGGCGTGAAAAATTGTTGGGGGTTTACGGCATCACATAATAACTCGGCCTAAATTTAAGCCTGAACCCCAAACCCCTAAATCCCCCTAAACCCCCCTAACCCCCTAAACCCCTTAAGCCCCTAAGCCCCTAAACCCCTAAACCCGAAACGTACCACTTTGTGCCTCGGTCGGTACTCCTCCTGCCTCGGTCGGTACTCCTCCACCCGCGTGCCACGGGGCCTGTTGTACTGAGAAGGAGCTCTGGACAGGGTTTAGGGTTTAGGGTTTAGGGTTTAGGGTATGGGGTTTCGGGTTTAGGGTTAAGCCTAGCTGCCTTGAACCAGATTCTTAAAGATTAAGTTCCAGCATGCAGGAAGTGCTACACAAGTACGTTGGAAGCTGCACAGTCCGCATGATGGGCGTCAGTTGCTGGCTTCTGGACACGGCACTGGCATCAGCCGACAGGAGCATCTGAATTTTGGAGGGGGAGGCGGAGGCGGAGAGGGAGGGAGAGGCAGGCGGAGGGGGAGGGGGGGGGGGCATAGACAATGTGGGAGACGCGGCAAGGAGAACACGTCAATTAAACGTGTACGGTCGCAACAACCCCTCACAAACGAGGGTGAGAACGAAAGAAGTTGCACATCGAGCAGCAGTATGGAATCTGAGCCCCAGACTGGGGATACTTTGCCAAGCTGGCAGCAACGAAGGCTGAAGGGTTTCGCACCTTGGCTTCGGCTGTGACGTCCCCTATTTCAAAATATTTTTTGTTGTAAGGTCTTGTACAGGTGAGCCAATTTCAGAATGGTGGACCGAAGTTCGGCCCCCTCTTCTTGCACAAGCTCGGGGCAGAATCCAATCCTTCACTAACAGAGTCACGCTGGGACCGCAGCATCGCCCTTCTTGAGAATGTCCTCCTCAGCACGATGCTTGTGACTCACACTCGCCTGAGAAGTACTCTGACTTCATTGCGCAACTGAACGATGAGACAGCGCATGTCTCAGATTATGCCAACACCTCTAAACAGGCAGAAGCCTACATCGCAAACCTGAGCCAAGTAAGGAGGGCGCCACCACCTCCAGAGCTCGTTCGGTGTCGCACGTCTGGCAGTGGGCGTTGTTCAAAGCCAAGCGTATTGATGCCCGCATCACTTGCTGCCTGTCATGACCTCTTGAGTTGCAAGTGGTGTCTAGGTGCGTGCAGCATTGGCCAAGGCGTTGCCTAAAACTGCAAAAATGCAGTGCCTTAATGTGCCTTAGCCAGCAGTTGAGACACACCTTTTGTAGTGGATCTGTTCTTCAGGGTCTGGGGCTTCCACTCAGTGGCGTTCAGCGTTCGAAACACCACCGCGCATGCGCGGGCCCCCGTGACTAAACTTATTCATGCTGGACGGAATGATCACTTCCCAACTTCTGCAAAACCTTCGTTACCATCACCAGGTGCTCGCAACCCTTTGCTTGCCTCCAAGGCATGCATCGCGGCATCGTCAAGCATCTCACGGAGCCCAGGGTGAGCGCTCAACCTGGGCGGCGACATCGTTGGTCTTCGGAGTTCAGGTTTGGTCGCATGAGGGTTCTCATTCTGATAGCCAAGCCTGGCACATGTTCATGCAGCACGTGATGCCTGCCTGTTTGGGAGTTCGGCTCATTGAAGAGCGCTGCGCGCGCTCTTCAGGACCATATAGACGGTTGAGCGCCAAAGCCCACAGCGTTCCAGTGAACTCATATACATCTACAAGCCGTATTGCTCCGTACTTCTGGGAGCCCCTAGACCGACTATGTCGGGGTTGGGGTCAGGGCACAGCAGTCCGCGCCATTTTACAATCCTGACTAGATCTGACTAGGTCTCATAAACCAACCATGTCACCCAGCTCGCGCTGTGGCTCTTTGAGCCTGCAGTCCTTAACACCTGCACATGAGCCGGAGCGAGGAGCTACGTTTTACCGGTAGTAAGTGCCCGGCAGTCGATGGAGGGGGTTGGCATCATGCCGCCTGAGTGCTAGGCAGTATACTGTGCATACTGCTCGCACGCACATTTGGACACCCAGCCGCTGTACTCACGACACCTTCGTTCAGCACACTTCAAACTAGATAGATAGATTGTGCACGATCGTGCAACCCCGCTTGAAGCAATAGTTAGTAAGCAAGGACCAAGGAGGGCGGCTTGCGCTGCTTAAGGCCGGCGCGGCACGGGGAAAGAGGACAGCGCCTAACCCGCAGAACGGACTTTCTTACGCCGCGTAGCAGAGTGACTCTTGAATAGCACAAGTGGCACGCATCACGGGCAATACATGTTGAGATATATCTAGCTGCGTCACATATCTCCAGAGCCTTCACAATGAAGGCCGAAGGGTTGCGGACGTCGTCTTTGGCATCCATGTCCTGCAAGGCAGCAGGAGCCGCGGCAGCAGCTTCCAGTGCGCAAGCTTGCACGTGCCAAGGCACGCGGAGTGCAAACAAACACTCTGCTGCATGAAGGCCTGCAGAATCTGCTCCACACGCATCGGATCCTGTGCAGTCTTGCACGCACCAACATGTGTCATGTCAGCTTCCTTGCGATAGTCCCTAACCAGTCCCTATCCAAGGTTTTGTGAAGCGATGGAGTGAACTGAGATCATGGCCGCGTCAGCCAACTTCATGAGGGCCTGCATGGGACAACTGGACAACGCTTCAAGTCTCATAGTCACTATGCCGGCAAGCCCTGTTCATATTCGATAGGACGAGCTTCGACAATCCTACCTCAAGCCCGACAACAAATCTGTTTACAAGGCGGGAATTTTAAGTGCTTCACTTCTAATCACACCTTCATCCTCTCACTCCTTCAACCCAGGCCGACTCGAATAGTAGCTTTCTGCGTTTTCCCCAGCAGTGCCAGCAATCTGTCTGGCAGGCGCTTACAACTTGATCCATCCGCGGCAGCCCTATTTGCCTGGCTGTCCAAGCTCTCACGAATGCGCGGAAATCTCAGGAGGATCCGGTCCACCTGCCCGGCACGAGGGATTTGTAGAAGCAGCGCAAAGGTGGCAGCCATCACAAATAATGGTTACCAGGGCCTCGGCGTCCTTGTCGTCAGATGCTGACATCAGCCCTCCTCCATCGGGCACATATGCCGGAATTGACCTGGCCGCACTGCTCTCATGCCCTCTCATGTTCCTGTTCCAGCCTTGCACCACCTTCCTCGCCCTCCCCCCCTTTGGGTCAGCAGCCCAACATCCAGGCGTAGCAAAGCACTCGCGAAGTACACTAAACACATCGAACTCGCATCTGCAGTCTGCACTTAATAAAGGCTGGGCTTCCAATTCTGCCGTCTGCGCCGGCATCTAGGTGTGCAAGTTATTTTGTAACATTGTCCGAGCTTGCGCGGCTCTAGTAGATCTGCGGGGTGTTGCCACATTGCCTCCTTTAAGTACGTCGGGCCCGAATTGCGGATCAATACATTCGGGGATTACACGATTACAGCTTGAGCTTCTCCATTCGAAGGACTTGCCAGCATGTAGCCCCGGTGCTTCCGCTTCCGTCGCCATGGACGACCAAAAGGCATCCAACAAGTTGTCTTTTGCTTCTCACTTGCTTTGGGAGAGGGGAACATGCAGCAAAGTTGTTGTCCAAAGTTCAAAGGTCGTGGGCAGGTCTCATGCTTTGGGCAAGTGGCAGTGGCGTGGGTGTGTCACAGGGTTTCGTTTGGCCGAAGTTCGCGCCCAACACGCCGAGACGAAGCGGTTTCACTGATTTGCGGTCATCGCTGCTGTTTGCCCTTGACATCTTTGATATGGGCTCTCCAGCATGCAAGCCTTCAGCCCTCGACCCAAAAAACGCGAAAGCTTTTCGCACGCCTGCCTGCCGAGGGCATGCACAATGAATGCCGACGGGTTTCGCACCTTGGTGTTGTGCTCATAGGTTCAACATGTCTCATTTCATGAACATTAAGAT